ATATAAAGTTACGTTATTGTATATATTCATCCCCCATTGTATATTCTAATCCCCTATTGTAAATATTCATTCTATTTTCTATTTTCGCAATTTTTTTTTGTTTTTAGCTTCTTATATAGGCTCGTAGCCTTTTGTTTTATTTTGGACGTTTTTAATAAGCTTTTGGTTTTCTTAATGCCACGGTTCTTTCCAAAGGTAGAATTTTGTATGAACCGGGTGGCTCTTCCCAATGATATATGGCGTGACAACCTTCTTAAGGGTATGAGTCCGTTTTTGATTTTTCTTTTGTTTTATTAGTAGTTTATAGTTAAGGGTACCTCAAGCATAGCTTCACTTGGGCCTAACACATTTGCCTTTGATCCCATGGTCAAAGACAAATGGTTGTGTTTAGGATGGTGAAAGTAGTGACCTTGAGACTCTTGTGTTGACCAAACAAACAACATGTGGTCTTTCGGGACTATTGTGTGCTCAATCGTGTCTAAGGTTGTTGTGGGCCCTCGACTCTAAGTCTTTAGCAATCCTTGAGTGTGTGTGGTGAGAAATCAAATTTTGAGTCCAAGTCCTGAGCCAATGGTCTAGAACTTGCCCTGAATGTTTGTTGAGGCGAAATTTTTGAGTGAAATTCGACTTGAGAAGTGATTATATGCTCTTCTTGATCCAAATGATAGTTGAACAAATTCCATAGCCTACCAATAATATGATCCCTAGTTAACCCTTTGAGCCTTAGACCTTTTTCTTTCAAGAACCATGTTACAAGCCTATACCCGTTCTAAAAGATACCCTCTCTTGGCACCCGATCTTTCCTTGAGCACATGGCAAAAGCATAAGTTTGGGGGAGAGACGAGGATAACAGCAAAGTGGTATGAGGCACAAAAATAAAGAAAAGGAAAGGCAATGAAAAAGAAAGAAAAGAAAAAGACAAAAAGAAAGCCCAATGTGAACAAGAATAAAAAGGGATTCAAGGAAAAACAAAAGTGAAAAAGGTGTGGAAAAAGTAGAAAAGGGAGAAATATTTTGAATTGCATAAGAAAGAGTGACAATGCATCTCTCTAACCCTTTGAAAGGAAGTGAAATACTCAAAAGAGTCAAAAGAATTGTGCCAAAATGAATCAAAAGAAGTGCTTTAGGGAAGATGGAACCCATATAGACCAACAATTTTTCCTTCCCTCAACCAAAAGCCTTCACATTGACTCCACAAAAGCCCTATATGATCTTGAGTCGGATGATGCTCGCATTAGTGGATACTTACATGAGGGTCAAGCATATGGTACTTAGAGCCGGACTTGTGACCTTTCCTTGAGAGAGACGAGTGAACTCCCAGTAACCTCGGTTTGTGTGCTTATAGTCTAAAAGGTGAGGTTTGCTTAGGGAGAGATGAGGATGTATGAGTTTGGGTTCCACAGCGACCAAAGTAATTGAGAGAGTTCTTTGATGTAATGAGTCAATTCTTGATGCTCTTGTGTCAGACTTGATCCATAGTTTTCAAGGTTTAAATGTTGTTAATGATCTATTTGTATTGAGGGCAATTGTTAGTCCCAATTGATGCTTGTTGAGGTTACTTTAGGTCAGCTGGAATTACTTGGATTTTCCTTTAAGGGGTGGGTCTTACTTTGTTTGCTTGAGGACAAGCAAAGATTTAAGTTTTGGGGAGTTGGTAAGTTAGGATTTTAACATGTTTTATGCCCCCTACTTGCCTATGCTTTGATCATGTATTTGTGCAAAATAGTCCCAAAAGGCTCACAGGTTGTGCTTGTTTGCAGGTTTGATCCACAAAGTGACGAAATATCAAAGATCGGCTCAAAAAGGAGTGAAACCTATTCAAGTATCAAAGACCAAGAAATCTAAGGGAAGAAGGCCTAGTGCGGACCGCGCAAATCGGTATGCGGCCGCACTAGGAGATTCAGAGAGTTGGCAAACTGGGCTTAAGGGCAATGCGGCCGCGGTACATATCTCGCGGTCCGCGGTGAAGGCTCTGCGGTCGCACGTAAATTTTGTGCGGTCCGCGGAATAGAGATCCAGAGAGTTGAAGTTTTCAGAGTCCACACCCATGCGGTCCGCGGTCGTCTTTGCGCAGACCGCGCCAGCTTCCTCCACGGCCGCGGTCCATTTTACGCGGTCCGCGGAGCCCAACTTCAGAGAGCTAAATTTTGAATTTCAGGAGCCTTGTGCGGCCGCGGTCCATTTTGTGCGGCCCGCACTGACCCCGCAGGGGTATTTTTGTCCAGTTTTTTCAGCCTAGTATGAATAGGACATTTTACCATTTTTAGGTCATCGGTTAATTTCAGAATTGGGCTGCGCTCGTGAGAACAACTTGTGTAGCCATTTTTGGCATCTTAGCTTCAATTTAACGATAGATTCTTGTACTTTAATTTAGTATTCAATTAATATGTCTTGCTCTTCATCTATTTCTTCATTTTCTCTTGCAAGCATGTGTAGCTAAACTCATTAGCTAGGGTTGTGGCTCAACCCTAGTGTGGGTAATTGATGGGTGTTGCCATCTAGGGTTAGATTGACTATGGGTGTTTGCTATTTGTGTTGATTTCATGTTTTAATCTATAAATTGGTGGTTGCAAACACTGATTTGTGCTTTGTGGATTTGACTCTTCTTGAGAAAGAGAGTCTAAGTCTCCAAAATTGACCCAACAAGGAATTGGGATGGACTCATGAGAAATGATAGTCCCAATTAACGAGTTAAATCTCGAGAGAGTAATCACCCTACTTGAACCCTAGTTGTTTGGTCTAATTTGCCTACCCAGTTGGTCTCGAGAGAGTCAAGTGGGCAAAATCACTCTCTCTATCGAGAGGTGTGAGAGTGGGTAAAATTGTGCAACGGTTATAGCATAAGCCCCAATTATGTCCATCGAACCATAGTAACATCTACCCGTCAATTAGCCACCTAGGTGACATCACGACCCTAGTGCCCTTCTTCCCATTAGATACAACTTTAGCAATTATCTCGTAGCATAATCTAGTTTCAATTAGTAGTTTGATAATAGTAGTTTATAATTGAAAAAACCCAAAAATGTTGGAAGTGACATTTAGAACAATTACACGACTCTAGTCTAGATAGATACCCAGCTCCAATTGCTAGCTCTCTGAGGAATTCGATCCCGGCCCTCAAATCGGGTAAAAGTTATTGCGACCCTCTCTTCCTACTTTATAGTAGTGTGGAGTTGGCAGCGATCAGATACTGGCAGCAACAACACACTTGTAGATGAAGCAAAGAAGACACTACATAACAACTTCAAAATGAAGGACCTGGAGAACTTAAATATTTTCTGGGAATAGAGATCATAGATCTAAGACAGAGATCCTATTAAACCAAAGAAAATATGCTCTACAACTCATATCAGACACAGGATTAAGTGGTGCAAAACCTGCTAGTTCTCCATTGGAACAAAATCTGAAGCTGACACAGTTGATTATGACAAACACATGAACAAGACAGATGATGAGGAACTAAAGGATATCAATGGATATCAGAGGTTAATAGGGAAATTGATATACTTGACTATAACCAGGCCGGACATCTGCTTTGCAGTACAGTTGCTGAGCCAATTCATGCAACATCCAAAATAGTCTCACCTAGAAGCAGCAATGAGAGTTATCAAGTACATCAAGAAGTCACCAGGCATAGGTATATTTTTGAAGAAAGGAGGACTAGCACAAGTGACTGCCTATTGTGATTCAGATTGGGCAGCATGCCCAAACACAAGAAGGTCAGTGACTGGCTATGTGATCAAGTTGGGTGATTCATTGGTTTCATGGAAGTCTAAGAAACAACAGACAGTGAGCAGAAGTTCTGCAGAGGCAGAATACAGAAGTATGGCAGCAGTCACTGCAGAAATTGTTTGGCTAGTAGGACTGCTAAAGGATCTCAATGTAAGAATATAGGAACCTGTGGCAGTATACACGGATAGTAAAGCAGCAATGCAGATAGCAGCTAACCCAATCTGTCATGAAAGGACCAAGCACATAGAAATAGACTGTCATTTTGTGAGGGAGAAGATTAAGGAAGGACTGACGCACCTGACTATATGCCCACCAAGGAGCAAATTGCAGACATGATGACCAAAGGATTAGGTGTAAGTCAACACCATCTTTTATTGTCCAAACTAGGAGTGTTAAATTTATTTCACCCTCCAGCTTGAGGGGGAGTATCAAAACTATAGGGGTCAGTATGTAACTAGAGAAAGTTAGAGTTTGTTAGTAGAGAAAGTTAGGTCGGTTAGTTGTTAAATAGAAAACTTCCAGGAATTAGTTAGCACTACTGTTCATTTTCTTCTTTCATCTCTCTGTAACAATGTAAGAAGAATACAGACTTCTCTCTTTCTCTTTCTAGAAAATTCTTCTCACATCTTCATTCTTTGCATATTGTTGATTCATAGATTGTAAGCTCACAATTCAAGTTCTAACATAAGTAATTATGAATTGTAATTAATATAGTAAAAAGTAATTTTTTTTCCAAGAAATAATATTTAAGTTGACTTGATTAATAAAATTCCAATAATGACTTCAAATATTTTACCAACTCATGTGAATAAAATCCATGGCAACTAATTCGAATTTCCAGTATGAAATTTAATCTAATTTCTACATGGGATTAACTAATTCATATTTTAATAAAGGAAAAAAAACAACAAAAACGGAACGACTATATTACATCTAAAACCAATTACAGAGTGGCTTTCTAAACATGCTCTAAATTTGTTCATAAGCATTTTCTTTTGGAGGAGACGTGACCTCATAAATCATTTGGGGAAAAAGGGATGATTTACAGGGTTCATAACTACTCTTACTGGTTCATAACTACGTTTACTACAATAACTACGCTTACCACACGACGCTTACATAGCCAACGCTTAGATCGTACGTAATTAGATCGCATTCACAACGACACTTACATAGCCAACACTTAGATCGTACGTAATTAGATCGCATTCACGACATTCTTTCCTTCCCCCGCCCAGCTCGCTACGCCAAAGAAAAAGAACCAAAAGAGAATGAAAAGTATGATATCATACCACTTGAACAAATTACGGCTAATAGAGCAACTTATCCAACCATCCTGGAATATAGGAAGTGTCGAAAAGAAACATATTATTTCTAAATGCATTGTATTTTCTCTGAAACATAATGCTACACTCAAATACATAATTGACCCACTACAGGTTGCTCGAAGCCATCATTGGAGAATAATGGAGAGGACCAGTTACAAATCCAATATTTTGATTTCTATGTATCAATATTCTGGTTTTCTTCATCTTCTCCGTTGATCCCGGTAGGGTCCTTCATCCTCCTGGTCCTTCAAGAAGCCTAGGAAAGCAAGAAAACCAAAAAAGAAGAACCCACCTTTCCAATTGCCTCCACCACCCCCACCTCCACCTCCGCCGCCATCATCATCACGAGGGGGAAACCCAGACCCCCCATCATCCAGTGCAGGAGATTTTTCCTTACCTGCATCCAGTGTCGACATATTAGTGCCCACATGATAGTCTGCACTGGATCTTTAACAAATACAAGCATGGCTGTTGATTTTGTGTTGATAAACTTTCGGAAAACCATTGGTTAAGTAAAGGCTAAACGGATGCTGTGATATTTTTACAGCAGCAGGGCAGAATGCAGACACTACTAACCATAAGTATAACAGTCAAAATAACTGAAATGCAAAATACAAATTGTTTCCATTTGTTCCACCAGTTGCTATAAAGAACATCAACAAATTACCTTGAACTGGTGCAACTGTAATGGTTGATTGTTCCCGTGTGACCGTCTGCGTCTGGCCTTCAGCACATCTGGCATTCTGCGTTGATGCAAGAAACAAGTGTTGAACAGAGATGCTAGTAGCACTATAGATTCAATGATGCAACAAAATAAATCAAATACTGAATGCAAGTAATAGTAGGCGCAGCAGTACTAACTAATATACAAACATACTAACTGCAGTAATAAACATACATACTAACTGAACGGAATACCGAATACTGAACTATATTAAAGTAACCAAATCCTCTTTCGTATTTTCTTGTCCGTAATGCGTTATAACCACTTTCAAGTAGTAAACAAACATATGTCTTCACATGTTAACCACCCATATCAATAAACAATAAGTGGCAAATAGAGAGGCTAATATATTTGTTGTAGTAAATGCAGTTGATTTTCAATATACTAACTGCAGAATCCTGCTTCGCATACTGAACTGCACATATGGAGACATAAGCCAATGTGATTACTATGTGCCATAAACAGCTACTTGCTGTAGCATTCTGAAGCTCTGAAGCTTCTCGCAGCAAAAATCACACAGAATTAATAAGAAATTACTGAACCACTAGAATCACTATAGGCGTGTAATTAGCTAAGCATGCACTCCTAGCAATTACACAAACACAAGTACTCAAGAGACTGTTACCAAAGCAGCAGAACATATTATTGAAGCACGCTTTTCTTGGACACGACTTATCAAGCGTCTTCTGCTGTTAATGACTTGAGACTGCATGCAAAGCGGCTGGAGGCCAGCAGGAACAGATACTATTGGCTTGAATTGCTTATCCCCTGCTCTCACTGTGACAATAATATCCAATTATCAACAATTAAGATAGAACAAGCAACAGGATGAGCAGCAAATCTTCAAAAGTATTTTGCTAGCATTGGATTTTAAACTATCAAATGTTTTGGTCACATCTTTGTCAAACCTTAAACGCAAATGTTAAATTAGTACTTCGAAAATACCATCACATTGAAGTAACTACAACATCAAAGACGAGATTTGTTTTACTTTTTATTTTTTTCTTTTGACAATTAAAACAAAGACAAAAGCTTTGACTTGGGGAAAAGGATGCATATCAGACTTCCATGGTGTTAAGCAGCAAAAAATTTAGAATGCTAGACGATAGATCATAAACCAAAATTTTCACTTCAACCAATTTGCTGTGTATGAAAGTATTATATATTTGACTGTGAGCGGGTGAGTGCAAATTGATGTTTTCATAGAGAGAAGAGAAAGCTAAGCTAAAACAGTCTAGTTGTATATGCAAAACAGCAACTGATATATTACAAGGGGATCATTACTAAATGTGCCTATCTGCCTTAATTCCTACAGCACTTACACAATAATGCCAATCAGATATTTTACATCTAATCCGGTTCCCTAACGTATTCAGAGCTTCGAATCAGAGAGAGTTGACAGTCCACCAGACTCGTAGGGAGCATGAGGGGAAAGTTCTATGGATCTCACGTTTAGAAGAAACCTGCAAGACGGGAGATAGAGGAGTTCTAAAGGTTGATGGCGTTACTCTATGGGCAAACCAAGCCTCGCCTTAATAGTGATTGGTTTATTCACAATCAAATCTTTTTACCAGAGTTTGTTGGTGAGAGAGGAGACACATTTTCCGCATTTATCGATTTGGATTCCTAGGACAGTGTTGTGAAGAGCGTGAAGCGAGGAAAAGCGACAACCCCCATTACGCTTAAAGCGAGAAGCGAAGCGCTCGCTTTTTTGAAGTGAAGCAAAATTTTTAAAAAAAAATTAAACTAAATACTAGGCAGTAATTAAATTTAAATAAAATAAGAACTAAGAATAGGATATAAAAATTAGAGGAAGGGTAGTAACTCTCTGATAAAAACTGGGCTGAGAAAGAAGAACCCAAGGATTGGCATCAATTATGAGAAAGAACCGAAGGTAAAAACAAATTCGCCAGCATTTCGCGCTATTTGGACGTTTAAACAGTGAAAGAAAAAGAAGAAGAAGAAGAAGAAAGAAGAAAGAAGAAGAAAAATCAAAACATACTTGTTGTTGTTGAAGACTTGATTGAAGAAGAAGAAGAACCCTAGTCGATGCTATCAGATGCTCTGCTTTAAAACCCTAGTCGTTGTTGTTGCTGTTCGTTTAATGAAAGACAAAACTGATTTCGTTTTTAATAAAATAGGGTTGGGTCTGTTTTAAAACACAGAAGCGGTTGCTTCCTTCGCATCGCATCGCTTGATCGTTTCTCGCTTTTTAGTGGGAAGCGGTCGCTTTTTTATACCTGAGTCGCTTCACCCATATGAAGCGTGCACCTTCTCGCTTCGCATCGCTTCTCGCTTAAAGCGAGGAAGTGGGCGCTTTTTTAAACACTGTCCTAGGGCTCCTAGGAAGGTGTTTTTTTTATTGCATGGTTGGCAGCAAGGGGAACGATTCTGACAGCTGAGGATGTGAGGAAGAGAAGTATTACACATATCAGCTGGTGCTACTACATGTGCAAATGTTCGGGCGAAGAAGTTGATCATCTACTGTTGCATGGTACAGTAGCATCAGGTCTGTGGAGGGTGGTCCTCAATTTCCTTGGTGTTCAATGGGTGATGCCAGGTACCGTTAAAGATATGTTGCACAGCCGGGTGAGTAGACGTAGGAGAAAAAGACAGACGGCATGGAAGGTTGCTCCGTTCGCTCTTATGTGGATCGTATGGAGAGAGAGTGAAACATGAGAGCTTTTGAGGGGATTGAAAAAGATTTTGCAAATTTGAGGAATAGCCTTTTGTCTTTAATTGCTTTTTGGTGCACACATGAGATCCCTACTCGTATAGATAATTGGGTATCTTTTGTAGAGAATCATGTTTTGTTGTAGATTCTACCTTTTGGTATATCTCTTGTATACGGGAGTTTTCAATATCATTAACCTTGTTAAAAAAAAGGATTCTCAATGAGCTAACCAAGAGAAGTTGATCCATTAATGTTTAACTGGATCAAGCATCACTATGTGATCCTAATTACATGGATATTAATTATGACATCCCTTATCTAAAAAGACATGCAGAGGTACTTGGTTAAAAGAATCAATAACGGGATATACACAAACATACCTATTGGCAAAGTAACTGCACTCATAGTGGTGCTAGCAGTTGACAACATCTTTTTGCAATAATTCTGAGTCTCCCTGAGACCGAACTCCTATAATCCTGCAATCCAAAAGGAAAAGTAGATTATATGCAATCCATACGGAATAATAATTGCACTTGCAAGAGGATACCAACAAAAAAATTGCTTGTCATGGAAATGGAAAACCATTATCGCCTCAGTTGGCAAAATGAAACTACCAACAAAAGGGCGGTGGTGTCCAATATCAGCAGTAAATGACTTCATTCGATCATCTGAGTTTCATGAGTGTTTGATAATACTAAGACAGTGAAGCCTTTGGTGTGTCAAGAGCGAAGGAACCGCATATATTTTGATGGAATCTCAACTCCAACTCACACTTTGAAGGCTTTTTGCTTAGTTAATCTTTACGGTTGGAATTATCTTAAGCCTGTACTTAGTCCAGTTAAATTTTTTGGATTTTGTAGGCTCACTGAACTTTAGCTGATAAATTGTCATGAGCTAACATTATCATCTCTTTTGTACTCCTTTTGCATCTACTTGATGCCATTTAATGATATTTACTTACTTCATCAAAAAAAATAAAACACTAAGCAGTGAAGCTTATACATATACAGAAAATCAGTCAATATTTTTTCGGTACACTATTAATCCTGAAAGGTACAGTTACAGCTCAGTGAGGCAACTAAAGTTCTACATTACAAATTTCCAGATTATATTTCCGAAGGAAACAAAATATCACAAAAGTAGGAAATGCATTTAGAAGGTCAATTCTGTCTTCACTGCCCACAGCAAACCACATTTTCTCGCGCATTCCTTTTTCTATACATCCGGCTCTCTTAATAAGACATTAGAAAGTTCATCTTGGGCACTATGAGAAAGTAGACAAGGAGGATAAGATGCATATGAGGGGGGAAATTAGCAATCAACATGTCCATCTTGACCTTTTATAACTCAGACATCTAGAAACAACCACCATTGAACCTAAACTTCACACTGAAGCAGATCAGTTAATAATTCAAAGCCTGACACACAAGAGCTTTATTCATCGAAAAGGCGAAAAATTGGATCCAAACATTATTTGCCTTTTTTGCTGCTAGCCCTATAATCTGGAGGAAACAGTTATGCATCCCAAGGTCATATATACTCAAAAATAGCAGTAAAGTCAAACTAAAATAACAAACTTAATTGAACATGTAGGTGACAATCTTATAAAAATGTAAATACAACCTACTCCTGTTATCTGTTCCTTTATGCCTATGCCTTGTGCTGGTGCCTATACAAGATTATGTACTCCTAACAGAGTATCAAAATGCGACAGATTCAGTTTAATGTGCTCCTAACACAATATCGTGATTATTTACTAAAACTGAATATTTAACTCTAACTCATGTTTTGAATATTGTAGGATAAATTTGAGAGTGTTGACATGAATGATCATCGTGAACATATCTTCGGATGGATGAAAGAGTTATGGAACAAATGGAGATGACACTTACATGCAAAATATGTGAAGGATAAGCCAATCCAACATGCTCTTAAGAATATTCCATAGGGAGTAGACAAGAAAGAATGGGAGTGGTTAGTAAAGGAACATTTTTCTTCAGAAAGTTTTCAGGTATGCCTAGTGATTTAATAATTTGGAACTACGATGAAGCTATAAAAAGGCTTAGATCAACAGAATGAATTCAAACTCCACATTCATATTCACGTAATGTTTCACAAATATAGGCGAGAAGCAACAGGAATGCAGCAAATCGAGCTAAGTTGAAGATGCTTCATCATATTGGTAGCAAGCCTATTCGTGAGATCATTTATCAAAAGGTATTATCATAAAACTTCGATTTTCCTAAGAAAAATATTTACGAGCTGTTATGTTTTCCTAAAACTTCGATTTGCCTTTGATGTAAAGGGCGGAAAAGATGGCAACCCACCGGATTTGGCGACAATTTTCTTTGAGACCCGTAAGAAAGATAACAAGCTTGTTGAACCTGAAGCAATTGAAAAACATGTATGTTTGGCAAATTGAATATGTAAATTACTTGAAATTATGGTGGATTCAGATTTTAAATGTGTTTTTATATATTTTGTAGGCTCAAATCGAAGAAATAGTTCAAGCTGATCCATCTCTACCTAGCATAGAGATTGTAGAAAAATGTTGTGGACCTCAAACTCGTAGCCATGTGTTTGGATTTGGGGATGGAGTGAAGGCGAAAGATTTGAAAGGTGGAACTTCTTCAAAGGCTGAATTACTGTCCGCGCTACGTTCAACTCGAGAAGAAAACAAATCTGTGAATGAGGAAAACAAATCCTNAACGTCTTCATAAAGCAAAGTAAACCCAAATAAGCATTCACATAAAAAAGAAAGACAAACCCAAAAAAGGAAAGGAAAAGGTGAAAAATGGGTTAAAGACAGACCTGATACCCGATAGAAGGAGAGTGAAATTAGAATCTGCCAATATAAAGAGAGGAAAATTACTTGTTCTTTTGTTGGGCTGAGGAGAGCTTATTGAAGGGGAAGGAATGACGAAGAGGGGAAGGAAGAGGTGATTACTTGGATAGGAATTTGTTTTGGGATGAAAAAGGTTATGGTTTCGGGTAATCCGCCTGTGTGCTAAGACCCGTTTTAGCGAGTCAGAGTTTCTTTCACTTCTGATAGTCTAACAAATTGGCAGGTTATCGCAAATATTACAGGATATAGCTTATAAGCATTTTTCTGTCATATATAGGCCTTTGGAAAAGTTAAAAGTGCTTATAAGTCAAAAATAAGCCAAAAGGAATTAGTTGGTTAACCCCGGCTTATAAGTTTTTTGCTTATAACCACTTTAAGTTTGATCAAGATTTTTACTATAATTCTCTATTTATATCTGTGTGATTGTGTATTAATATTTGAACTGTATGTAACAAATAAGAACATATCAAATTTTTGATGTATTATTTTCTTAGTGTTGTGCTGATGAAGGCAGTTTTTGTTTCTCTTCAAATATTTTGTCCTATTTTATTTTTTACTGAGAAACTTTTGTCAATCTATATTATAACTTATGATTATATGCGTATCATAAAATAAATTATATTTATCATAAAAATTATCTTATCTAAGCACAGTTGTATTTAAAATAAAATAACAAATAGAATATTTTGTATTTGAATCGATCTTAAATCTAAAATTTTAAAGAAATTATGCCCTAATAAATGTAAACAGTTCTAAGGTTATTTAAGTCATTTTAACAGGAAAAAAAAAAAAGCTTATCAACACTTTTTTATCAAATACTGCAACAACCATCATCAATTTCAGCACTTGTACCCAAACATGTAACTGCTTATTTATTAAATCAGTTTCAACACTTAAAAGTGTTTTTCAGCACTTAGTGCTTATCAGCTAATCCAAACGGGCTCATAGTAAATGGAGGAAAAGAAATAAAGTTCCTCTTGGCTTTATTACCATGAAACTCTTTCCTCTTCAATTTTTTTTTTTTTTTTTCGCAACTTTCTAGTCTTGCTATTTTATCTTGTTTCCTTCAGCTTTCGTTTCCTATCCCTCAATTTTGCGATTTAGAGCAGATATATCCCCGTTAAAAAGTGGTGATATATACCCCTGTCGTTACAAAATGGTGCAAATATACCTCCTATCGTTAGACAAATGCCGAGCATCCAACGAAGCGGCCTTTCATTCTCTTATTTCGTCGTGGCACATTCCCCCCTCCCCCCCCACCCCCACCCCAAGCACCCCCGGCTCAGGGGACCTGTGAAAAAAAAGAGAAAATCTTAGACCTTATCTTAGATGTTTAAATAAAGTACGGGCTAGGTCTTTGTACCCGGATTCTGTGATTCAAGCAAACCAATGCCTTAAGCCACTCAGCCATACCTTCAAGTTGTTGATTGGAATAGAACTGCTGTGCCGGGTTTTGGTTACATGCCCAAAGGAAGGGTCATCTGATCGATCAACAAAAATTTTTAGAAAAATCTTTTAGCTTATTTTTTAGTTAAAAAAAATTTTCTTGTCGCTTTTAAAAAAAAAAATCTACCTATTTTTTTAGTAGACATATTTTTCTAAAGCCTCATGGTATTTTTTTTTCTAGTTGATCGGGTCTGATTTCCTTACAAAAATATCTTTGTGGCTAAAAAAAATCTACCCTGTTTTTTAAACGAATTAGACTCGACCCACGAGGAAAAAAAAATTACCACGTGGCTTTAGAAAAATATATTTGCGCCATTTTGTAACGACGGGGCTATATGTCCACTACTTATTTAACGCGGGGCATATCTGCTCTAAATCGCAAAGTTGAGGGGTATATTTGCACCTTTTTTCTATTTTTAACTATATCTTCCATAATCAGGTTACGAGGATATGCACTAAAAGTTTATCCCTAAATTTTGGGGGTAAGTTTTAAATGGTATCATGATCCAAATCTATATGATTAACAACTAGTACATTATCCAATTCAAGGGAACTAACCCATATAAGCCATTTATATGTCTCTAACGTGTATGCGGAAGTATTTTTGAAAACATAATCATTCTAGATCATTATAACCAATGCATGAATACAACCTTTAAATAACACTTTTCCAATAAATAAAAATTCATTAAAATCAAGTGTTTATTTCCTGCATGCCATATGAGTAGTCACAGAATTATAACCTAAAAAATAAATAATTGTCGATAGACTCTTTCTGACATAGAATGAAACAGCCAAAGAAGAAAAGCCACAGTGACTTCAAAGAATAAAGTAAATATCTCTCCATGATCAAAAGTGTGGAGTCTCACCAAAAATATAAGTAAAATATGTGGAGATTTCCTATCCACGATGCTCGTGCTGCTCAGGACCAGTTTATAAAAATAAAAATTTGGCCAACTAGACTAAGCTCCGTATGTCTGATATGTACCATAATTAAATTGTTTTCCCAATAAGTAGGACAAGATTTAAGTAAAGTCATGAGATATGTAAAGCATTGATATTGATATTAAAAAGAAACATTTATATCGAATCAAGTTATACAATGTAATGAAACAACAAATAACACATATCAAAGTCCTCTTTCTTAGCCGCTAACTTGCCTCCTTCTTAGCCTTCTATACTACTCCTTATTCGTCCTATTCTCCTCCTCGTCTATACTCTCCCTACCTTAAAAGACGCTACTTTTTTGGCTTCTACTTTTCCTTAGACCTTTCCACTCCACCACCAGTCCCTTTTGTGAACACCCTAGTAACCCTTCGAGACCCCTAATATCTCTCTAGTAGCTTTTGTAATGCAATTCGCTGTCGTGGTCCACATACTTCTCGCGTTCCCACAGCTCCTTCAGGCCCATATAACCATCAACTTCTCCCCCAATTCTTGAGGTTTGTCCATAGTTAAGGTTCCCCACTTGATCTTAGGTTGACTATACACCACTCTCCTTTTCTTCTTTTACTTGATTTCTAAGTCCATTACCAAGAGCCAATGATAGGTCGTGAGGTTCTCACTCGGGATAACCGTGCAATCTGAGCATAGACCTCTGTCATGCTTCCTGAACAACAGGTAAATAATTTGAATCTTGGCCGCCGTACTCTGGAAGGTGACCAAGTGATCCTCCTTCTTCTGAAAACTCGAGTTAGTTATTACCAAATCAAAAGTTTCGGTAAAATCCAAGAGCGAAGTTCCTCCATCGTTTCTAACTCCAAAATCGAAGCTGCCATGCACGTCGTCACAAGACCCAGAAATTGTCCCGGTGTGACCATTGAAATCTCCTCTTGTGAAAAGTTGCTCGGTGACCGAGATACCACGCACAACCTCGTCCAAATCCTCTCTGAAGCGCCTTTTGACCTCCTCGTCCAATCCCACTTGAGGTGCTAAGCACTAATTATATTTATAAGTAAATCCTCCAATAACTAGCTTAATCGCCATCGACCTGTCGTTACCCTCCTAACTTCTACCACTAACTCTGTAAGTTCCTTATCAACTAAATCACCTACCTCATTTTTTTTTTGAGTACCACAGTTTAAACCTATCTACATCACGTGTCTTAGTTTCCACCTATCTAGTCTCCTGGACACAAGTTATATTTATCTTGCTTTTCTAGAGAATCTTTACTAACTCTATAGACTGTCCTGGCAACGTCCCTTTATTCCAGGACCCAACTCTCAGTGCCTTATTATCCTTGCTCCCCGCCCCACCTGAAGATATGACCTTGCTCCACCATCACTCACCACAACCACTATAATCCGAGGGATACCAAGCTAGTGCTACATCAGATACAAGCAAAGAGTTAAACTAAAGGAATACAGACTAAAACTTTAATATAACGCACTAATTAAGAGAACAGATGAGCAAATACAGACAAGCAAGAGTTGCAAGTGATGTGTTTAAATTAGAGCAAGTAGTTTAACTAGCTGTAAGAAAACTACATAGTCATTTGATTATTTTTCTAAAATTTTGGATTTTCAACTCAATGAGAATTTTGTTTATTAAATTTATTTGAATGGAACTCCAAAATTTTAGGATTTAAGATTATTTACTGTAAGTACAAAATAATATGAAAATATTTCTGACAAAAAAAAGAGAAAAAATATAGAAAAACTTAGAATTAGATGCTTTCCTAAATTAACGTAGAATAAAAGTAGGATTCTTATTAGCTTTTACATGCTTAGAAAAATACGGAGCAAATTCATTTCCTTTTTTTTTTTTTTTTTTTTTTTGTATGCAGTATATTTCATGTATATTACGAACTCCTTGCTATGTACTCCATACGAGCTTAAGAAAGAATATAATAACTGTAACTACAAATAAAACAAAGACAAAAATTAGAAAACGAAAGCTTTCATAACAATTCCTAACGTGTTACAAACTTGAAACATCACTCGATAAAGAATTCAATTGAACTTGATCAGGTGATTGATGATTTGAGATACAGCAGCAGATCCAATATAATGAATGAAAGAGATGGTTGTTTGCTATAGAGGTATGAGCGACGCTCCTTTGATCACGATCCGTGTCAAATCCTGCAATTCAGTTAATGAGCCTACAAGTCTGAGGGGAAGGAAAAATCAGTGAGGTACAGAAAGTTTTCGAATGTTGCAGCATCTCTTGACAGTAGATGGCCAGTGAGAAGACATGAGTTCACTGCAGATGTGATTGTTGATGCAGAGACTGGCAATTCACTAGGAAAAGATTTGTATAGCCATAACAAGATAATCATCATATATACTTGTGCAGTTTTTCTCTTGTTACTCGATTCTTTCAAGGACAAACTCAATAATCAATGATATCCCCTGCCTGTTTACACATTTCTTTCGGCACTTAAACTCCATTTACTTGTTTGATGGAAAGAACGAATGAACAGCAGGCTATAAAGCAGAATAAATATCTAAAAACTGAAAGAATGAAAGAATAAGAGTTGCCTAGGTAAACTGAATTATCACATGGTATTTATTGCCTTCTAACTCCTTGACAAGCACTTAGAATTTTAGGCCATATATGTGGAATAAGAGCAGGTTTCTCATACTCCGATTAACCTAAACTATTCCTACAGAGACCCGCTTTAATGCATTTGTTTTTATAGCAAAACTAACCAAGATAACAATTCAAAGGTCCCTTATCTACATGACCAACAAGGGAGAAGCACATGGTTTTGCTTCTAACCTGCAGTTGATCATCTAATTGTTTTAAATTATTGTCATTGATGAGAAGTACCCAAGTATGAGCTGATATCATTACTAATAGGCCCCGGTTGTCGATCAAAGTAAAGAAAAAATAAAAGAAACTTAGCTTAATCCACAAATTTAAGGCCCCATATCAACATATCAGCACATGGCTTTGCCTTTGGTTGTTAGTAGCAAATTTCAGCTCCAACTCAAAGCCTGTTTAAAACCTCTTGTTATATAACCCCCTTTTCTATGGACCTTTTTCATCATCAAGTAAAGCATTATCTATTCAGCCATCAAAAGGTTCTAAATTTCTAGTTTACTTTCTTGCTTCCAAACTTTCAAGGAAAGAAAGAAAATGCTCAGTACTAAGAAGCTCATCAAAATGGCAAGGAAATGGCAAAAGTTCGCGATCAAGCAGAGAAAGAGGATTCCACTTCCAAGAACTGGTAGTGATGCAGACAGTTGTAGTACATCTTCATCCTCTATCGCCAGGAAAGGCCATTTTGTAGTCTATACAATTGATCAAAGGCGTTTTATCATTCCATTGGCTTACCTTGAAAATGAGGTCATTGGGCAACTCTTGAGCATGTCTGAAGAAGAGTTTGGACTACCAAGTGGCGGTCCTATTACATTACCCTGTGATTCAGCGTTCATGGACTACATCATGTCACTGATCAAGAAAGGTGTAACTGCTGGAGATCTTCACAAAGCATTGCTCCTCTCAATTCCTTCATGTTGCTGTTCAACTTCTTCTTTTCACCAAGAAAGTGGAAATCAAGAGATTCTTGTTTATTGAGACATGAAATGGTCATATTTTGTAAATGATAGCTCAAAACAGATTGTATAGCACATGAAAAATAGGCAACTGAAAGTTGTATTATTACAGATGGAATAGTGCTTTAACATTCTCATCTTGTAGTCAGAGGCGGAGCTAAAATTTCAATTCTATGGATTCTGTATTCAAGAACAATGATTTCTATTGGGTTCTAAATTTAATATGTGCACATATATAATAAATTTCTTAACACAAATACACTGTTTGAGCAAAAGCTATTTGGTTCGTCCGAACTCATAACTCGGTTTCTACCTCCGCCCCTACTTGGAGTAGCACTATTATTTTATTGCGGGCAATCAACTATTGTCTATCGAAACTTAAAGACGTAAGAATCAAAACAACGCAAGTTTAAATGACATGAAAAATTAATCGTAACGAGTTTAACTGAAGTGAAGTCATTAACTGTTCCTTTTCGACACTTCCTTGACAGTTAAATTTCATACTTGATCAATATAGATTGAAAGGAAGCTGCAAATTACAGCAACCATTTAGAAAGTAATAACAAAGCTTAGCGGTTACTCCTACGCCACACTAATCGGCCACCACATTGATTATTGTTTCAGGTAATAGTTCATTCATATCCAGATGTAAAAATAGATCCAGTAAAATCCTACAAACGGGATCTGGGGAGGGTAGTGTGTACGCAGACCTTACCCCTACCCCGAAGGAGTAGAGAGACTGTTTCCGAATGACCCTCGGTTGTAGAATCAAACTAGAAAGATTATAATTTTGTGCTCGACCAAATGGATAAACAACCCGAACACACCAACATGTACAATTAACCTCCTGGATAGTCAATGAGTCTTGTTTTTTTAACATCAAAAGTCACTTCAAATTACCAGCTCACTATTAGTACTGCTCGTGAAAAAAAATGACCTTAGCACATCTAAAAGATCTGATAACATGAAATTCTCAGGCATGATCCATGAATCTCAGAAATTAATTTAAGTTATATACACTCGAGTGTTTACATTTTCTTTTACACTAAGTGAAACTTTATCTTCGATAGTAAGTTAGTTACTGTTTTATCAAGTTACCAACTAATGTTTGTTATATATATATTTAGCTATAATTACCTTATAAGCGACTTGATTTTGTAAATATGTCCGTCCACAGAACTTAAACTCCGCAGAGAGTCTCTCAAATTTGGGTTATCGTTGCAAAGTTTTTATGTAAAATGTCTATGGATGCAATAAATTCATAAGGAAATTAGAACACGTGAACTTCAACAAGACCAGTGCTCTGAGCAAGGACGACTTCAATAGTCCTATCGAGTTTAGGTCTCCAATATCCACTCTCAGATTGCATAGGTTGTCGGATTTCAAGTTCCATGTCTTTTGAGAATAAGCAATCACTGGCTGATTAACAAAAGAAGAAAATATTAGGCAAAAATTATGGCGTGTACAGTGAGGAATTCTAATAAAGGAATTGACAAACAAGCAAGGATGCAACATTTATGTGAGTGATCAGAAAGCAAAAAAAGCATAATATTAATATCTCACGATGATCTTTCATGTCTCTCTATGATTCAAATATGTTGCACTGGTTTTAATCACATTTAATGCAGTGATTTTTATACAAAGAAAAACCAGCCAAGATGACAATTTAAAGATCACTTTGTTGAAATTCCAATACATTCACACAGAGCCTACACAGCGGAATATTAATAGGAACGTACCTTCAGCCATGGTTGTTCAAGTAATGTGGGAAATTGCCTTGGAAGAATTTTGACAGAAAACCTAGAGCCTTCTAGCCTGAGCCTATGATAGGATGCCAGATTGATGGAATCGCAGGCGTATTTATAGGTAGGCTAAAGACTCTTAGGCAAATACTTTAGCCCTAGGGACTTCTCCATAAATTATAATTACCCTAGGACTCCTAATATATGGTAATTTCTTTCGATCAAAGAAACTACCATATATGCATAACTACAGAATATTATCTGATATATTATTTCGTTTGGGAGACAAGGTAAATAATTTTATTACCTTATATGTGGGCCACACTAGAAGTCTCTAGAAGAGACGGCAATTTCTAACATTCTCCCACTTGGCTTACATATTAAAATCTGATAATCCTTTATAAGAGAGAAACATATAATATGGCCATAGACTTTATCACTCAACTAAAAGTTATGCAACAATCACTTTAACTAGAATATATTATTACACGAATCATGGCGGTCATGCTTTTATACAAACACTTCCTTCCATGTATTACCATGCACAATATATTCTAACAAAGTGTCTAACAACTTTATGAATGAACTTAATATAAGTCATTCAGAGTCCAACTTTATTGATCCAATGATCACAACTAATACATGAAAAATCAGAAGTGTGCATTGTCATGTATATCAAAATAAATATAATATCTAGACAAACTGTTAGAGAGCAAGGCAAGACTGAATTGAGCTACTAAGTCCCATAAGGGTTACATGATCCTTGAAAATATTAGCCGGCAGACCTTTAGTCATAGGATCAGCAATCATCAAAGTAGTACTAACATGCTCAAAATTCACATCTTGCTTCTTCACATAGTCTCTAACCATCAAGTACTTTATGTCGATGTGCTTGCTTCGGCTGCTGCTTTTATTGTTCTTAGAGAAGAACACTGCAACTGAATTGTCACATAAGATTCTCAATGGCCTTGAAATGGAATTGACAATCCTAAGGCCGGAAATAAAGTTTTTCAACCATAACGCCTATGATGTAGCTTCATAGCATGCTATAAATTCAGCTTCCATTGTGGATGTTGCAACAATGGTCTGTTTGACACTTCTCCAAGACACAGCACCTCCAGTAAGAAGGAAAATGTATCCTGAAGTAGATTTACCAGTGTCTTTGCATCTACCCAAATCAGAGTCTGAATATCCAATCACCTCCAATGAGTCAGAGTATTTGTATGTGAGCTTAAAATCCTTGGTTCCTTGCAAATATCTCAAGATCCTTTTACCATCTTTCCAATGGTCAAGACCAGGGTTACTTGGATATCTGCCAAGCATTCCTACCGCAAAAGCAATATCAGGTCTAGTACAGACCTGTGCATACATAAGGCTCCCAACAAGCGAAGCATAGGGAATGTCTTTCATTTGCTCCTTTTCCAACGCATTTTGTGGACATTGATTCAACGAGAATTTGTCACATTTAATTATGGTTGCTGCTATAGGTGAACAGTTCTTCATCCCGAATCTTTCCAAAATTCTTTCACTATAAGCCTTTTGAGACAGTCCAAGTAATCTTTGGGATCTGTCTCTGTGAATTTCTATGCCAATGACATAAGAGGCTTCACCCATATCCTTCATCTTAAAATTCTGGATAAGGAACTGTTTAGTCTCGTGCAACAATCTCACATCACTACTTGCAAGTAAAATGTCATCCACATATAGGACTAGAAAAATATATTTGCTCCCACTTATCTTAAGGTATATACACTGATCAATGATGTACTTCGTAAATCCAAATGAAGAAACAACATTATGAAATTTAATATACCATTGGCGGGAAGCCTGCTTTAGCCCATAAATAGATGTTTATTCAACTTGCAAACAAGGTGACTTTTGTCCTTATCACAAAATCCTTCACGCTGACGCATGTATACCTCCTCTTCAATCTATTCAGAAACGTTGTTTTCACATCCATTTGGTATAACTCTAAATCAAAATGAGCTACTAATGCCATAATTATTCTCAATGAATCCTTCTTTGATACTGGAGAGAAGGTTTCATGGTAATCAATGCCTTCCCTTTGAGTAAAACCCTTGGCTACAAGCCTGGCTTTATATCGTTCGATATTACCAGATAAGTCTCTTTTAGTTTTAAAGACCCATTTGGAACATATGGTAGAGGATCCCTTTGGTAATTCGACGAGATCCCAGACTTTATTTTTAGCCATTGTAACGACCCGACCGGTCGTTTTGAGCCCTAGCGTGTCGTTCAGCAGTCTGAGGCCGTAAGCAGCTTCATTTCAGGTGTTATGACTTGTACGCGTGGTCGAAATTGGATTTCGGGAAGTTCGGAGTTGATTTGGGAAGAGAATTCTCATTTTGGAAGCTTAAAGTTGAAAGAATTAACTAGGATGGGATTTTTGAGTAAACGACCTTGGAATCGGGATCTGAAGGTTCCAGCAGGTTCGTATGATGATTTCGTACTTGGGCGTATGCCCGGTTCAGGTTTTGGATAACCCTCCCGGAAGTGGACTTTTTGATATCGGGGTCGGAATCCAATTCTGGAAGTTGGAGTAGGTCCGCAATGTCGAATATGACTTGCGTGCAAAATTTGAGGTCAATCGGACTTGATTTGATAGGTTTAAACATCGAGAGTAGAAGTTTGAAATTCTAAAGTTCATAAAGCTTGGATTGGAGGTCGATTCGTGGTTTTAGCATTGTTTGATATGATTTGAGACCTCGAGCAAGTCCATAATGTATTTTGGGACTGATTGGTATGATTGGTTGGGGTCCCGGGGGTATCGGGTGGATTCCGGGTGGTTAACGGATCGATTTTCGCCTTGTGAGGATTGCTGGTTTTCTGGTATAAGTGCAGCAGGTTTTTACTCTATGCGATCGCGAGAGAGGGTCTGCGATCGCATAGAGCAAGAGTAAGGGAGCTGGAATTTGGCCTATGCGATCGCATGAGGTGCAATGCGATCGCAGAGGAGGAAGGCTGGGGCTTATGCGATCGCAGAGTTGGTGTCGTGATCGCACAGAAGGAATTAGGGAGGCAGCAGAGTTGGCCTATGCGATCGCCGGGCTATGTTTGCGATCGCATAGAAGGGTCGCCTCGGCAGTGTTCTTTTAAAATCGGGTTTTGGCTCATTTTTCACTTCATTTCTTCCATGGGAGCCGATTTTGGAGCAATTTTGGAGTGTCATTTTCATCACCAAGCATGAGGTAAGTGATTTCTACTGGTTTTGAGTTAAATACAAGGTTTATAAATGGATTTAGACATTGAAATTTGTAGAAAACTTGGGGTTTGAGGGAAAACCTAGAAAAGTAGTATTCTGGGATTTTGACCACGATTTTGGGCATGGAATTTAGAGAAAATTATATATTTGAGTTCGTGAGGCTATGGGTAAACTTATTCTTCGAAAATTTTGGAAATCCGGGCGCGTGGGCCCGAGGGCATTT